TTTGTAAATTAAGCCTAGATTTCCCTTTTTACGGGTGGTCTCAGTAACTGCAGAAATTGACTTTATAGGCAGTAGGAGATGACATTCTTAAGACACCAATCCAGAATGAGTGTTACATGACAGGCAGCAACCATGAGCTCATAGGCTAGGATGAAACTTGGTGATTCCTGAAGTTAGCTGAAAGGTTTTTGGAAAGTAACATATTTGAGCTGGAGCATATTTTTGGAGACAGCATAATGTGCTCAATACTGAATAGGGAAATGGGGGGCTAGAAGTGCCAGATTCAACCTTTTCTCTGTTTTTATAAGTCCTTTCACTTTCTGGATTTAACTGGCAATATGTAAGCAAACCTTTGATTCCTATTGACCTGCTTTAAAGGATAATGAAGAAATTATCGTTTAAAATATGTGTGTCTTTGTACAGGGGGAACTTTAGTCCTGAACCTGGGGCGTCAAGGAACCCTATGGACACAATCACAGAATTACCTCTGCAGACGTCAGAGCCTTAGGGTACCAGTGATCACAACCATGCTCTTTGACACCAAGTGTCCCTGTGCTTGAATCCTACCTTTGCCATTTATTTGCTGTGTGACTGGGGATAAACTATTGAACCTCTCTGAGTCTCCATTTTCTTATATATAAGTTATGGGTAGTTACACTCTATGGGATTTTTATAAGAAGTAAACATACTGGATAAAAAGTGATTAACAAAGCAAATAGTATATAGCAAGCACTTAACACACAATGATATTACTTGGCATTTGAATCATTCTTATTTGATATTTCCTATCTGTGAGAGTTGGCTTTCCATCACTATAACAGAATACCTGGGATGATAAACTTAGAAAGAGGAAAGGTCTGTCATGGCTCACAGTTTTAGAAGTTCCAGCCCCTAATAAGTTAGTCCTGTTGCTTTGAACTTATGGTAAGGCCACACACTATAGTGGGAATTCATGGTTGAGTGAAACCATTTCACAAGCCAGGAAACAAAGAGATAGGGCACCACCCTGAAGACCAAACCTTTGACACATTGGTCTTACTGTGATACTATCCAAATATAGCACTATTTAAAAAAAAACTGAAGGTTTTTAATGAGAAGAAAATGGAAGGATGACATAATCTGTGCAGGATGAAAAGAAAAATCACAGCTGTTCCCAACCAGGAGTTCCATTCCCTTAACTTTCCTGAAAATTACTGACCATGACATCCATGTCTGAGTTTGCCAAACCTTTATTTTTACTTAGTTCAGCTAAGACAAATTAAGAAAAGGAATGAGGTATTCTGTGCCTGGGACTCTCTGTGAATTAAGAAACTGGATATACACAATCTGTTCAAGTAGCTTCCCTTAAAAGAATAAGCTGAAGAGGTCACACTATGCCATGAAGTGGGCCAGGTTTCTGTCTCTCAATCCATCTTTCTTTGATGTCCTAGAAAGTGACTTCTGGCTTTATCTACAGGGATGCTGCTTTCCAACTCTTTTCCCGTTTGTCCTTTTCCTTTACTGGAAAGGGTAAGGGTTTTGGTGCTCCCAATAGAAAAACTTATATGAACTCATAAAAACAACATTCAGCAAATAAAGCTGAATCTCAGGGTATATGGAAAAAAAGACTAGAGCCAGGAAAATTCCTTAAAGATACAAAATGCCTACCCATTTGAAAAAGAGGGATAAAAGAACAAAGATAAGCAAGCACAGAGAGAAGAGGTAGAATTGACAGAGAAATATATTAAAACTGTTCCTTTGCCATTTTTTAGGCACAGAAACGCTACATAGAAGTGGGATAGCTAGCATTTTGGTATATCATCCAGCAAATATGTTTTTCTGAGAAATATCTCCCCACAGCAATTCCTAGCAGCGCTGCCAAGCTTTCCTTTTATGCATTCTGCCTCTTAATTCAGAATTGCCTGAGCTCGTCCTCAGAGCCTTTCTCAGTGCTCTGGAAGCAGAAATGCTCCCTGACTAGCCACAGGAAAGTCAGCCCAATGAGAAAGCTGGTTAGCTGCTAAAAGGAGCCACTAATTAAATCTGGATTCTAAGGGCACACAGAATGCACAGGAACAGTATTTTTCTCCATTGTATTTCCAACTGCAATTGTCATGTAGTAGGTGCTTGATATGATGGATAGACGGATGGGTGGATGGGTGGATGGGTGGATGGGTAGATGGATGGATTGATGGAGGGTGGATGACTGCAACAGATGGATAAGGCTACTTTTGGCCTTGGCAAATGTGGTCATTTTCTCATTTCCTCCTTAAAGCAAGTGTATCGTGATCTTAAACATCTCTATGACTTCACTTGAGCACATTCCTGTAAAATTTGAAAAACTGGCAATCATATCAATGTCTTACAACTTCACTATCATTTCTGGTAGTGTCCTCAATGATTCTCCCCACTAAATAACGTTAGCTTTGTAAACATCTTTCGTAATTATCCTAATTAATTCCTAATACAGGTTAGAGCATTATGTAGTCTAATCTTCCGTCATACCCTAATCAAGAAAATGAAAATTGGCAGCCAAAATTAATTTCAGGCCTGGGGATTTAGCTCAGTGGTTCTGCGACCTGCTTCACAAGCACAAGGTCCCGAGGTCAATCCCTGATACCAAAAAAATTCATTTTAAAGACTCTAATATTTCCTGGTAATTCTCAATGTTTTATAATCTCAGTCCTATGCATAGTCAAAGTAACACTTATTTGTCTTTTCTTACGTCTCACTTTTAATACTTCTAACATCCTAAAGCTACCTCAAACTTTTTCTCTCTATAACTCAAACTGTACCTAAAACTTCACCCAGCAAACCAAATCTGCTAGTCTGTTTCCATTTCTCCTCTTCACTTTTCCTTCTGGCTCCATTCTGTTCTCCACTCTTTATTCAGATGAGTTGATCTTGGCCCCTGTCCAATGTAGAGCCCATCATTGCATCATGAAGTGGCCCGAATGCTTTTTATAAAACATACAACTGACTTAGTGGTGGAAATATAGCTCAGTGGTAGAGCACTTACCTGGCATACGTGAGGCCCTGGGTATGATTCCCAGCATTGCACAGAAATAATAACAACATAGCAAGTTCAACCCAGCCTACTAAGACCCTGTATTAAAGGTTTTTGGGGGGGCTGAGAATTTAGGCACTGCACCTGCCTTGCAAGTGCAAGGTCTTGAGTTTGACGCCTGGTACAAAACAAAAAGGTTGTCTTTTGTTGCTTTTTTTTTTTAAAGATCTGGGGATGTAGCTCAGTACAAAGGCCCTGAGCTTAATACTTAATATACAATAGCGGGGGGATAAGCTTAGGGAATCTAGTCAAAGCAATAAAGTAATAAAATGACTTCTGATTAAAAGGTGAAAAGTTTAATTTGGAAAAAGTGTGTTTTAATTACATTTTAATTTTTTTAGGATGCACATGTTTACACCTGGAAAAGGAGAGAGATTACTTTTAATTATGGCAAAAGATTAGATGTGAGTAGCCCACTCATTTTACAGTGAAACATTAAAACTGACCGTGTATTATGCCCTTTAAATATTTATTGATAATGTAATGATTTGGGTGATTTATCTTGGAAAAGAGACACAAAAGTGACTCTAAGATTTTATGATTTAAGAGAGAAACTACCACCAATCTTCTACGTGGAAATCATGGTGGGTGAATTTGCCAGGAAAGAAACATACATGGTCCTCTTCCAAGGTCTTCCTTAAGATTTTTATCACAAAGGAATCTTCCAAATCTCAATTAAGTTATTTCATTCTAGTAAAGAATCCTTCAACATTTGTAAAACCTCTTCACAGGGCAGGAAGAAGAAAGGAAACTCTATCTCAGTCAAACAGGAAGGAGCCATCAGGCTCCACCTAGACATTCGCTATCATTCCTTCAACTAAATCAGAACTGGAAAGTACAGGCCACCCACAGCCCAGGCCCTGGACTGATCTACCCAGAAATCAGAGGTCCTAAGGTGGTAGCTGCTCTGCAATCCACTGCTTACTCTGGGATTCAAATCTGTTTGTCTGCAAAGACTCATGTTCCCAACCAACACAGCTGTACGGGGTGGAATATGTTTTCAGACTGCCCAAGCAGAGCAGAGGATCTTTACAGGTAAACAGAGGCATCACACTGAAGTCTTCATGCTCTGGGGCCTCGGGGAATAGTGAAAATGCATGTTCCCGGAAACCTGTGTGTGAAGATACATTATAGCTGAAGAACCAAGTGCATGGTCAGGAGCTGTTCCTCACTCCTGGGGGAAGGATGTTGTCCAAGTGTCCCACACAGAACCTAGCACAGCACCTGGCATCTCATCTGACACTCATTAAAAGCCTATTGGATTTGTGAATTAGCAAGACAAGCCTTCAGAGAATGAGTACCCACTTCCTGCTGCCTTTCTCCATCCGTGAAATCAGCCCGAGAAAGCATTAGGACACAGGTCTGGACTAATGTCACAAAACCAGACGGTGAGTTCCAAGGAAGCCAGCTAAGGGAATGGGACCCTGCTGAACCCTGGAGAAAATTTTTGCAAAAGATATATATCACTAGACAAATGCTTGATTAGTTGATGGCTGATGATTCAACCCCTCTGCAGAGATGTCTAAATCGTCACCAGCACAGGAAGTGGGATCTTTTCTCCCCACAAGAACTCTCCTCCATCGGGGGAGCAAACAATTTTACGGCTCTGCCTGTGATCAAACCCAAAAGGCTTTTGGTCAGAGCCAGGAAGTTAGAACAGAGAAGGGACCAGAAAGGCAAACTTGTACTGTGGTAACTCCCCTTTCTGTGGACTTTTGCCACAGCTCTGGCCCAAACACAGGGTGGCCACAACTTCTGTACCCGGTAACATCCTGATGTAGCAGGCAGATCCAGGAGTGCGGGAAAACTGCCCACTCTGAGTAGATAATATCTGGAAGGAATGAATATTTGGGAAAAGTCCCAGTGCTAGTTTGGTGCCAACCCGTCCCCACCTTTTACAGCCCCCTCCCACTGGTTCCTCCCCTTTCAGCTGCTCTGGTTCTTATAAAAACCCAGCCTTTCCCTAGCAGCCTGTAGGAGCCTCTCCCTACTCCTGCCCCTGAGACACAAGACACAGCCTCGGACCCCCAGACACCATGAGGAGCCTGCTGCTTCTCAGCATCCTGGCTGCCCTAGCTGTGCTGACTCTGTGTTACGGTGAGAAAACTTTCACTCTGCAGTTCCTCTGGTTTTCCTTTTCTGCCTCAAAGTTCCATTCACTTCTGCTTTTCCTCTCTCTGTTAGACTCTCAGAGTCTATGAACTTAACTGTCTGTACCTGGTCTCTGTGGACACTGCCCACTTCTGCGCAGCCTATTTTATATTCTAAATATCTAGGTGTTTGTAAGCAACTTAATGGGCCAGGCCTTTCAGTGGTAAATCCCTGTGCTCCTAGAAACAGCTGTTTTAGAAAGAAGATTCTTTATCTCCAGCCCTGCACTCTTAGTTTATTTAGGATATTTATTTAAACTTGGTATCAGTGGGTTAAAGATATTTGCTGAAGCACTTATTTTTAAGAAAATACTTTTAAATTTTCATAAAAAGTATTAAATATAATTCTTCCTAGGGACAGGATGAGATCATAAAGTACTTCAGTGGATTAATTTTAAAATGAAGTTTTATTTTAAAGAATTTCAGAAGTTTTATTTTAACGCATCCTAGAATTCAATCTCATAACTTCTATATTGTCAAAAATATTATTTGTGACATTTGTGTGTTGTTGAATCTGTATTTCTTCAAATGTTATAAAATGAAATTTGAAGTCAAATTATCTCCATGATTCTGCCTTTATACCTTCATTGTCCAGATATGTTGGCCATTTTTCAGCCTGAACTGCATTAACCACCCTAAGTATTATGTTTGTCACTCTTGAAATTATTCACCAATTTTCTGTACAAGGGGATTTGCCTTTGTCATCTCCTTTTCCAAGCAAACTCAATTGCTTACATACATACACCTCTTAGTCTCAACTGTACCCTCTGTGCTCAGGAGAGCAAAGGGGAAGAAACCCTCCTTTGACATCCTCGGTGCACTGGCCTTGTGCCCAAGGAGTCATCAGCTGGAGCCAGTAGTTTCTGTGGTGAATTCTTAAGAGGCTTTGGGAACCCTCTTGGGAACCCACCTCTGTCAAGCCTGGCTGAGCACTAGAACCCTCTACCTGGAAAAGCCTACCTGTTTCTGTGCCCACCATAACTTCCTTGACCTTACTCTCAAATGGGCCCCAAATAATAGACAGCAAAAGGCTCCCTGGAGACTTCTGAGCAGCATTTAAAATGTTGGCTTTTACTTGTCTGAAGACCTCAGAGACACTGGGAAACTTTAGTCAAGACGACACTACTTCCTTCTATATTAGATAAACAAGCACCAAAAAATCTAAACGAAAAAACTCCTACGTCCTAAATGCCTGAAATATGTAATAACCAGATTGCTAAACACATTCTTCACATTTCTGACTCTTTCTTCTCTTTCCACCCTTCTTATTTAGATGATAGCCTCATGTAATGATTAAAAAAACATATAATCAATCTCTGTTTTCTAATTCCAGAATCTCACGAAAGCATGGAATCCTATGAAATTAGTAAGTGAATATTTGATTCCCTTATTTCAACCTCTTGCACTGAAGAAGCTCTCCCTATTTTAGTAAATGTGCTGCCGAAGCGAGCACTCTCCTTATTTTAAAATAAACTAAGTGGCAAAACATGTAACAGAAAGGGCCTGTGTTTGGAAAACTAAAGTCAATGTAAAAATCCAGTCACTGTAATAATCGCCACATGAGCAATGCTTCAAGCTCTCAACAGTATAATATGACATTTAAAACACATTCGACATACTTAGGAGCCATAAAGTCTCATTTGGAAATCTGAAGCTGGCACCGCACACATGGAAAAGGAGAAGTAATCACACATGGCAGAAACCAGAAGGAGAGGCCAGAAGTCAGCAGGGAGACCATGGTCAGCAGCAGGCAGCAACCAGTGCAAGGCTGTGGGGTCTCGGAAATTACAAAGACCAAGTATAGCAAGAAGGAGCAGATCAGAAACTGGGATTTACCTCAGTGGTTCTGCTGCCTGCCTCACAAGCACAAGGACCCGAGTTTGACCCGGTACAAGCAAACAAACAAAAAACAACAACAAAAAAGAAACAGCATATCACACTTGTTTTTAATCTGTAGATGATCTCTGTAGTGTTGAAACTGCTCAGGTACTCTAAGTTATGCTTTATAGTTCTCAAGACAGAGAAACTAAAACACAACAAGCAGGAGTGACTAAAACAGAAAAGCTAAGCAATTGCCCGAAGATGAAAACAAACAAAAATTGCTGTGGCCTATGCCATGTCTCTGAGACATGGCGATGGATTACCCATTCATTTTTCACAGGCAAATTATATAAAATCTGCCTCAGCTTGCTCTTTGATTTTTGCCTGTCTCTGGTTCCATAAAATACAGCAAATTAATGAGCTATGAAATACATTTGCGCAAGCGAATATTCACTGACATGTTTTTTTAGCTGCTGTTTGTTTCCCTGAAATTGCATTTATTTGTTTTTTTGTTTTAAGGTCCCTTCATTAATAGAAGAAATGCCAACACCTTCATGTCCCCGCAGCAGAGATGGCGCGCTAAAGCCCTGGAGAGGTGGGTGACAGAACCTCCCACTAAGGGGTGGGGTCCCCTAGCGTAGGGTCACAGATCCGAAGGGACAGAGGGACGGGTTTCATCATGGGCTGTTTCTAATTGTGTCTTATAATCAAAGGATTTCAAAACTTAGTACAGAAAGCAACCGAATGTTTAGAAAACTTGTGAAAGGCTCCAAAAGCAGAGGGAAGGAGCCCGGGAAGGAGACAGAAAGAAAATGTCTGCTTTCATTAAAAACAGACAAAAAAGTGTTTGCCTTCCCCAGCCTGGTTTTCGGATATACCTTGATATTGGCAGGAAGGACTCTCTCCAGTATCTCCTTGGGCCTTCACTTTCTTCTCTTCTTTGCTCTTTTCCGTTCTTTTTATGCTTCTCAATGTTGGCCTGTCTTTCTTCCCCTTTCTAGGGTCCGAGAACGCAGCAAGCCCGCCTACGAGATCAGTCGGGAAGCCTGCGATGACTACAAGCTTTGCGAACGTTATGCCATGCTTTATGGTTACAACGCTGCCTACAACCGCTATTTCAGGCAGCGCCGTGGGGCCAAATGAGAAAGGGGAAGAAATCGTTTCTCGTTCTGGAATCTGAAGCCTGGTTTTGTATCCCCTTGCAGCAGCATTACTGAAATATGTAGACGCCATACAATGCTTGTTTCTTACATAATCTCTTGTCCGGGCGCACCCCTCCTTCCTGCTCCCAGATTGTTAAATAATACAAGTGCAATATGTCAAGTTGTGTGATTTTACATAATAAACTCTTAGTTTAATACTTTCATTTTGTGGATGTGATTTCTTCAGGGAAAATTATGAGATACTTAAATTATGGCCCATCTAACCAAGATTAGGACATTCCGTTAATCTGTGCCGAGTGTTGATTAGAAACATAACTATATAGAAAGAAAGAAATTTAAGTCACTCATCTAGCCAGGGATGGCGAACCTTTTGGAGATTTCAATGATACAAGCAGCCTGCTGTGGCAGGCGTGCCACAGGTTCGCCACTACTGAGCTCCCTTTATGTTGAATGATGATTCCTGTTATGGATTTTCCAGGATTTTCTAATTATAAGAGCAGCAATTACAGGGATCACTTACTTCACTTGTTTCTAGTCTCTTACAAAGCAAAGTAAAACGTGACTACAGTTGTCAAGGTAACCTAGTAGAAACTAAAAAAGAGTGAAAGGAAAATTTTTAAAAAACAAAAAAAACAAATGGTAAGATAATAGATTTAAATCTAACCATAACAATCACATTATGTGTAGAGTCCAAACAAAACATTTGTTTACTTCTGTATATGTTGTATATTTTACCATACAGACTTATTACTCCTGTTTCAAATAGTCAATTGTTTTTTAAACCATTTAAATAATAGGGGAAATATTACATATATGGATTCATGTAATTTCCATGTCTAGCACACTTCTTTTTTGTATGTGTACATTCAGATTTCCATGCAGTGTTATTTCCCTCTGGTTGAAGAACTTGCTTTAACATTTTTATAGTATATATCTGCTGGATTCTTTATTTTCTCCCCTTTCTGTTGGTATGTGCTTGCAATATATAGTATTTACATTCATTGGAGAAATATTCATATATATATTATATCTTTATCATTTTCAAGCCCCTTAACCCCTACCATTCACCCTCTCCTTTGCCTCTCATAACCTTCCCCATCTCCAAAATGTCTGTCTTTATTTTACTATTTGTATTTTGGATTTCTTGAGAAAGAGGAAACCACACAATATTTAAATTTATATATCTGTTTTATTTCATTTAACCTTATATCTCAAGACCCATTCATTTTTTCTGGGAATGATATGAATTTATTCTTTATGGCTGAAAGACTGCTTTGTAGTTTACCTTTATTTTTTAAAAATATGTTCACTGTATAGATCAAATTCTACATAGCCAGTTTTGCTTTTGATTCCTTTTGCATATTACTCCACCATCTCCTGAGTTGCACTGTTTCTGATCTAAAATCAATTTTTGGCTGGGCCACATGGCACACACCTATGACCCCAGCACTTGAGAGGCTGAGGCAAGAAGACCGCCAAAAGTCTAAGGCCAACCTGGGCTGCATAGTGAGTGTAGGGACACCCTGCAATACAAAGTGAGACCTTGTCTCAAAAAGACAAAATTAATTAATTAATGAATTAATAATAGAATCTATTGTCAGTTGTATTTTTGTTCCTCTGCACTTGTCTATAGTCTCTGGCTGCTAATAAGATTTTTCTTCCCATCATTGGCTTTACAAAATGGATTACAAGTTACCTTGGTGTGACTTTCTTTTTCTTGTACTTGAAGTTCATTGAGCTTCTTGGGTTGCATTAAATTTACACATTTTCACATCATTAGTTCTTCAAATATTCTCCCTTTCCTACTCTTTCACTCTTTTGGAGGCTCCAATGATATGCATATTTGGCCATTAGCAGCAATTCAACTCCCTGATATTATTTTTATTTAAAAAATTGTTTTCTTTCTCTGGGTTTTATTTTTGAGACTTCCTACTACTCTATTATCAGGCTCACTAGCCTTTTGTTTGGCAATATCATTCTATTATTAATCTCATCTAGCTATTTTTCATCTCATTTGTTTTTTAATCATGGTTGTTTTCTGTCTTCCATGTTTCCACTTGCCCTTTTAAGTATCTTTGGTGTGGTTGCCAGGACCACTTTAATCTCCTCATTTTCTCATTCTATTATCTATGTCAATTCTAGGTTAGGCTTCATTGATTCATTATACTATTTGTATGAATCAAAATTTTCTGCCTTTCTGAATTTTTTGCCATTTTTTACTTAATGCCAAGCAGGGTAAATTTAATCTTCTTGTATACTGGAAATGTTTGTATTTCTGTAAGTATTCTTGAGTTCTGCTTCTGAGTACTGCACCCAGTGTCCCTGATTGGATGGGAGGAAACGGGAATAATCCCAGACCTAAATTTAGTGTTGCCTCTCTTCATCTTGTCTGATCATTTCACTCTGTACTTGTGCCCATTGGGCTCCTTTGGTATGAGGGTGCCCTCCACAGACACCCTAAGATACTTCTCTGCAGTTACCATCTCTAGGATGTCACCACGTGGACTATACACCCCTTATTCTCCCAAGATTCCCAGTTCCACCTCAACTCAAAATGTCCACTGGGCTCCACTTTAGTTCCCTTTCCCTGAGTCATGGCCTGAAACCTCTCTTAAGGTACAAAACAAGGGCAATCAGAGGTCTCACTGCTTATTTCTCTTCTCACTGGGGAAGCCATCTTTCCTTGCTTGATGTCTAGTGTCTTAAAAACCATTTCTTCCTTGTAGTACCTGTTTCTTTAGTAGTTTCTGAAGGGAGGATAAATTCCAACCCTGAGACTCTGTCTGGGCTAAAAGCCCATTAAATCAGGCAGAACTACTTTAGATGGACATCTCAGTTTCAGTTTCCCCATACAATTGCCTGAAACACTTACTGCAATTATATCCACAGTCTAAGTGGTCACTCTTCTTACCTCTACTTCCCTCAGCCCCTGCTATGCTATTCCCAATAAATCATCTGCATACTCAGATCTAAGAGTCTTCTTCCTAGGGAACCAAATCTCTGATAGCCCTTCAGATGGTAAGTAGTGGGACCAGAGTCTTCTACCTTTAGACCTCTTGTTTTATCATCAGACAGCATGAGATTTACACCTTTTGAGTTGGCAAAGAGTTCCTCAGTCATCTGACTCATCCCTGCAGTTCACAGTTGAGAATAAGAGGCTTAGTCTCCCCAGAATGGGTAATTCTGCTCTCTATAGAAATATACCTGCACTGGCCTCACAAAATCTAAGGAGATACAGGTAAAATGCCCATATATTTTTACCAACCTCTTATTGGCACACTTTCCAATCTTATGAAGCTATTTTTGTGTGTGTGCGTGTGTGTGTGTGTGTGTGTGTGTGTGTGTGTGTGTCCTGGGGATTGAACTCAGAACCTCACACTTGCCAGGCAGGTGCTGTGCTTTTGAGCTAAATCCCTGGCCCTATGAAGCTATTTTTAATGTACTTCCTACCTCAGTCAAAATGTTGTCTATCTACTTTATCAGTTCTATGATAACTTTTATTTTTTTAATGACCCTTGCTTTTCAGAACCATGACACATGAAGCTATGTCATGGGTCTTATTTTTTCCCTTTCATCTTTTTAGTGAGACCTTTTATGGGGTAGCCCTTTCAGAGAAACAGAGAGTGTTTGAACACAAGCAGAGTGGCCAGCTTCATAAAAGCCATTTAACTTCTTAAAAGAATGTTTAAGAATAAAGCCCTAAAGGTAGACCTCCCTAATTATTGATTCCAGCTTCACCAGAAGCTGTGTTAATCTTGGTCAAGGTAAATAATCTCATTGTTCCTCTTATATTTTCTTATCTTTAAAATAAGATTATGCTTGTGCTTACCTCATAAAGGTCATCAACATTAAATAAATTTATATACATATATATATTACATATTACATAAACCACTGCTTGGCATACAGTAAGTGTTCAATGAATGTTAGCTATTTCTACTGTTGCCTTCTACAGTAATGCATTATTGCTGTAATCTGGATATGAATAGGTAAGACGGTATCTCTTTGGGGACTCTCACTTACATGCTGAGTGACCACCAATGATTACGGAGAGGACCCAGCTGGATTTACAGCCAACTGTGACTGACAGCTCCTCTCAGCTTGTACCTACCCTGCTCCCTTTCTCCTCCAACAAGCCTTATCTACTGATCCTGAGCAAGTGTCCGGTTTCATGAAAGACTAAACCAAATATGCTCATTTTGGTTTAAAGAAAATCCATGATCTTAGTTTTGTGCTCAACTAGGTTTATGCAGCCAAAATAATCCACAGGGGAGTGGAGCTGAATTTTAAATTCTTTTCCAGCACCATGTTTGTCCTTAATCTTACCCTTCCCACAAACGGAACCTTTTAAGAATCTCTTGCTCTAGTCTGAGTTAGTTCTTAAGTAGCTTAGTTACCAGTCAATAATAGTATTTCCCTCAGTTCCTCAGTCTTAATGCTTCTTGCCCCCCAAGGTCTTTGTCACAACATAAAAGTCTAATGAGAATAAATTCTGTCCTAATTCATTGTGGTTCAGAACCCTGAAACTTGCTGACACCGGTTCTGGTTGTCTATTCATGAACTGAGGTACTATTTCATCCTTGAAGGCCATCCTTTGGGACTCTGACATTGTCAGCTACCATGTGATTACTCGATCTGCCACACCAGTAAGAATCCCTGGCCATGGCTATCGGCTTAAAGCAAAACAGATCAGACCATGCTATTTTACCTGTAAGAATTGGATACCCTTTTCGAGGACATTTTATTGCCCTAAACCACCAGCATCATGTGGTGCTGTGTCTCCAATAAGTGGAACTCATGGGCTAAAAACAAAGGTATGAACAAAGGAGTGCCTATGCTTAGCATTTGTAACCTATACGTGGAATTTACATTTTCTATCTATGCAATTTTAATCTGTAGATCTGAAGAGCCCCATTCATTTGCAGAAAACACTTTCACTATGGGACACAAGAAGTGTCCATAAGAACAGTCCCATTTAAGCCCTGCAAGCTGTTCAGAAACTCCAGGGTCTTCATGCTAGGAGACCAGCTAGCAAATAAAGAAGTAATTTTCCTATCAGGGGTAGAGTAATTAACATGCTCATCAAAAGAAGGTGAAGTTTCTGTTACACACTACAATAAGCAGTGGAAATATATTTGATACCAAAGTAATAAACAGAATCATTTCTTAATACTTCTTTGCCCAAGATGATAGAAAGTGGAAA